TTTGTTTAAAAAAAATAAAGTGAGATTTCGTTTTACCTAATAAAAATTTTTATTAAAGTAGAATCGACTCAAGATTGATGAATAGTCTCGGAAATGATGAAGTAGGACGCCTACATCGATTAATGATTTCTGTCTAACAACTCTCTCTCTGATATATAATATAAAATACATTTCTATGTACATTTGTTATATATGTTTATTATTTTTTAATATTATACATACAGAGAGAATTTTCTCGTAGAATTTATCCTAAAAATCATTGTGTGATTGCACAAATTATTGAAGAATTTTATTGGCAATCAAATGAAATATCTGACGCGTCGTTTTCTTTTTCGTTGCCTAACTACTTTATCTTATTAAAAACAACGGAATGCGATAACGTTCCAGCTATGTATTGAAGATTTAAGAGATATCGCACTATATATACGTGTATATATTAGGAAAGGATGACTAATAAGGCTATTCCCCTGTCTTATTCTTACTTCGTTGACTCATTCAAAGGCAGCACAAAAAAATAGGTCTCTCGTGACAAGGAAATACGGTCGCTTATTCTGTCAAGAGATAATAAGCGGCATCGTCACTTTCACTTTTTGTGCATCTTCTTCTCTTCCATCGCTATCTCCTTATTTTTGTATAAATCTCTTTTTGAATTTTTAAGCGAATTTCAATCGAGACGAGATGGCAGAGAAGGAAACCGAGAGATCTGGCTGAATCTAGCGCTAGAAAATCATCGCCGAAGGTTAACGCGATCTCACGCGAGAGGTTCCGCTGGGAATCTCCGATATCCTGGATAATTTGCGTGCCACATCCAGAAGGATGCACTTGCAGCTTGCCGATTCTACACCGTTGTAGAAATTAATTCAAACGCTCTATGTATCTCAAGGTATAGTTATTCTTAATGGCTTCGAAACTCTCTCCCCTCGTAACAAGCGTAATGAGCAGCCTAACGAGTCGTCTCGTTAAGAATTTGTTCTTAATATCCTCGAAATTTTCTCTTAAATCATCTTTGAAAAACCTTCGATAATATTGTATGCTCAAAGCGCCCAAGAGATAATACTTGACTCCGGACATTAGAAGTGAATAATTACGCTTGGAAATTTTAATGTGTCCATATAAGCCTCGAAAATGAACCTTGATTATAACTAATGACTAATGTTTTTCGAATAAAAATTCGATTATTTCTGCTTAAGGCTCGCACCATTTTGCTCTACACTTTTATCACATCTAAAAATAGCATATTTTATTTATATCATAAAAAATTTTTAAATGCAAGTAATTTAAAAATTTTTTATCAGGGGGTCGGACATTATAAGCCCCCCTCATTAATGTTTAAGGGTTAAAGGTATTCCGCGATTACATAATCGTATAAAAACGCGGTTGAAAAAAAAGCAATGGAACTCGAGCTCCCTTTTTCAATAAATTCCCAAACGTCAACGCTGCAATATCGATTTGATTGGAAAAAAATATATTTAAAAAAAGATATACATATTAAAAGTCACAATACAAACATATAATACAAATAATTAATTCAGATATATTAAATCAGACACAATAAATTGTTCTACAATACAGTCTTCTGAGAAAGTCGATTTCTCCCACAGCTGTTACGTTTATAAATATAAATTTAATTGCGCGAAAATTAATATCCGACAATAAGATGAAAAAATACGGCGAGTTGCAATTGCAATCGTAATCGCGCGCTTAACTCGGCCAGCGATTTCGAGAATGTCATAACAAAACAATCCGTACCATTAATCGCATAAAACAGGCTGTTAGTGCCGCTGGGGAATTCGCCCGTGCCCTTCGCGATGATTGCAAAAACGGGGCACTCCATGGTGGCACGAACCATATGGTAAGTATACCGTGGCACAACCGTTACTTGGTACCGTACTGTCTCGATGTATATATGTATACATTCCACTGGACGGCGGAACGTGTAAGGCAGTCACATGCGGCAAGAAAGAAAGAGGGGAGAGAGAGAGAGAGAGAGAGAGAGAGAGAGAGAAGCTGCAGCGAGGATCTCTCTCAATTAATAGGGGTGAGATGGAATTTAATTTTTTGCCATTATCTCGAAAAGTATGAATTTTTCGAGAAAAATAGTTATTATCAAAATTGTAGCTTATAAAATTCTCTACAAAAAAGGTTATTATACTTTTTTTGTGGAATTAATCGTTTTAAAGATATAGAGCGAATTAAGTCTGAAAGAAAATGTGCACACGCCGCGTTGCGTCGAACAATCGGACCAGAATGAATAACGAAGCTCATTCAGTCCCGATTAAATGTGCATCCTACGTATGTATCAATACCTTGATAGAATCAATAAAACCGCAAAGAATGCGAATGAGATATATAATGTTTCGGTAGTATATGCAGATGGAATCCGCGGACTATTACACGCGGGAAAATTTTTACTCGGATTCTCTTTTTTCCGGAAATTATATATAGTCCAGTAAAATTAGATTTGAAAAGGACAAAACTGCAAAAAAATTATAATTAAGCTGAATTTTTGTGGAGACTTTTATATCGATGTTCTAATGAAATCCTGAAAAATACCTTTAAATTCATGGGGAGTAAAAGAAGGTAAATTTTAGTTTTTTGCCATTATGTCGAAAACTATTCAATTTTTCGAGAAAAATAGTTATTATTTGTCGGTTTGTTTAAAGATCACAAAAGTCAGAATTTAATCCTAGATATAGATGGATCCATCTTGTCCACACTTGATTTATCTTTTTTTTTAGGGACTGAAGAATAATATTGTACTATGTCGAACAAAGTCAAAGATGAAAATGTTTTTCCTTCGAATTTTTTTGCCTAAAAAGATGAGTGCGCATTTATCTAAAATTGATGACCTTTTTTTATTGCACTTTCTCGTACTTTCTCTCTGAATTCGTTCCTCTATTCTCTTTACAATATACAATACATATGGTTGTGTGCAAAATAGCACAGTTGGAAATGTGAGGGAAATTTTTGGGTTTCCTTCGCCACGTCTACATCTAGGATTAAATTCTGACTTTTGTGATCTTCAAACGAACCGACAAATACCAGGAACTCCTGTAATGGTCACTTTGGCGGTGCAATTTTTTACAGTAAATCTTTTTGCCCACCTATAAATTTTCGCTCGGCAGGGAAGCAAATTTTTTGAATATATCTATTAACTTCCTTCTCTGCGGAAACTCCTGGGATGTTGCCGACATGCTTCGATAATCCTGTCAACCCTGTCGACAATTAAGAAATCTTTTCTTAACTGTCATTTTGACAGGATTATCGAAGGGTGTCAGCAAACATGTCAGGAATTCCAGCAGAGAAGAAAAAGTAATATATATTCAAGCAATTTGCTTCCTTGCCGAGCGAAAAATTTTGCTTCTTCTGAATTTGAAATAACCTATATAAATGTATTTGTTTAGGATTCAGAAAAATTTGCCGCGCTCGATCGAACGAAAATTCACGAACAGTCGAGAATTTAAGTGAAAGCAATTGCCGCGGGCCTAACACGGCAGCACCTCGCGGCACGCACCGCGGGAAGCGCCGCGGAAGCAAATTTTCGGCCAATTAGCGCGTTCCGCGTGTACCCCTCGCGATCAGGCGGTCGATAGCGTGATCGATGAGGGTAGCATTCCGTCGGGACAGTCGTCGCGGAGAGAGAGCCGGCGTTGGTCGCAAGTCAGACCAAAGAATTCGCGTTACGGTGTAATAAGTGCGTGAATGTATTATCGCGACAAATACGAACAGATTTGCGCGGTATTGTGTGACATATCGAGAGTGAAGAGTTAACGGGTAATCGGATCTCGTTCGCGACGCAACATACACGTTCTCGCGACGAATTCGCCATTGTCTCGTGCATGCTACGTGCACGTGATCGAACATTACGAGTATTCGGATCCTGCTGGAGGATTCACTGCGATATTCGCGTATCGGTGAATGCATGTCGTGCATTCTCTCTCTCGCTCGTTCTCTCTCTCTCTCTCTCTCTCTCTCTCTCCCGCGCTCTCTCTCACAATTGTCGTAGTACGCCGTCGCGACGAACTCGCCGTCGTATTGTGCACGCTGCGTACACGTGATCGACTCCTGCGAATATTCGAATCCTTCTGGAGGATTCTGTGTGATAGTTAATTGCATATAAATGCACGTGATCGAACATTACGAATATTCGGATCCTGCTGGAGGATTGAATGTCACATAATTGAAGACAATTATTAAGTCGCGTCAAATCATATGTGCGCGTGTTCGATAAATTATAACGGTCGTCCACAAGAGGACAAATTTGTTGTTGTACGATTCGCGATCGTGACTTTCAAATAAGACATTGTTTTCTCTTGCGACAAAAAACATTGGTGTCGATATCGAACAAACAGTTTTTTTTTTGTGATCGCGAGCTTCGAAACGTGTACAGCAAACGCTTTCGATTCTCATATCGAGTTTTTGTTCTTTTTTTCTTTGATTTGTTTGTGTCAAGTCCAGGTGACTTTCTGACATGTGAAATAATAAATTGATCTGTTTTTGTTCATCAACTTCAAGACTTCTTTTCAATTCGGCTTCCTACGTAAATCATCAATCTCAGCGCACACATGGGTGCGCGATCACCCTATTAAGATACAGTCCACTCAACAATTATCCTATTGTCCATCCATCACATCTCTCATGAGATTCCTATGATTTCTTTCCAATAAAAAAAAAAAAACGGGTGAAGGATTTGAGAGGCGGCGCGCGAGACGCGGCCCTAAAAAGGCCGAGCATGCTCGTTCGCCGCAGCTTCGCGTCGGACCACGGTTCAAGCCGCGCGTTCGCAACATTTGGTCCTTCGAGCCGGATTTGAGATTGGTGACGAATTGAAAAGTGAAAAACTCAAGTAAAAAACACAGTGACATTGCAAGTACATTCAAAATCGGACATCATCAAACGCTATCAGTGCATTCAAAGAGAGTGACAGCTCGGTTCGTAAAAGACTAATTTGATTAAATTCAGTGTCGTTGAAACCTCAGTTGATTAAATTCAGTGTCAAAATGGAAGAAGCTCTCGCAAATCAACAAACTGCTTGCTATTCAGTTGCTCGAGCTCTCGACAATTTTAAGAAGATCGGTCGGTCAAATCTGACGGCCGCCAAAATTCGCTCGCGAATGACGAGCTTACAAGACACGTGGACACAATGTGTACGCAATCACGCGACACTGCTGCAGCTTGTTCCTGACGAGAAGCAAGTTCAATTCACTACTTCAAAAAGGAGACCTTCGCCTTCCACGAGGACCTCTATCAGGCAGCTATGGACTACATGAACGAGTGCTTGGAGGAGCTGGTTCCAGTCGTAAGTCGTGAAACCTCTTTCAACGCTTCGTTCGCGCATACAGACTCTGCGTCATTATCGGTCAAACATCTTCCTCCCATCAAATTGCCGCCGTTCACCGGTAAGATTGAGGAGTGGGAGACTTTTCGCGATCGGTTTCAATCGCTTATTATAGACAATCGCGAATTATCGAACTTCAGTCGCATGCATTTTTTAGTGTCAAGTTTAACAGGCTCAGCTCGCGATGCGATATCAGGTATTAAAGTCACCGCGGATAACTTCTCGGTTGCGTGGAAAGCATTAACAGCGCGTTTTGAAAATAAGCGCCGATTAATTGAGACTCACATTTCGAATTTGTATAATCTTCCGAAAATGACTCGTGAGTCAGCTGTCGAGCTTCACGCCTTACGCGATAAAGCCGAACAAGCGATCTCAACATTGCAACGTCTTAATCGTTCGCCGGACGATATAGTCAGCGACATGTTAGTTTATTTTCTCTCTCAGAAGTTCGATCCCGCCACGCGCCGTGCGTGGAAGTTAAAAACGAGCGATATCGAAAATCCGCCAACATACAAAGAAGTATTAAAATTTATTTCGTCGCGTGCTCTCGCGTTAGAGGAACTTCACCCTCGCGATAACGACAAGACCAAGTCACATGCGAAAGTGACTAGCGCAACAGCGACTGCGTCATTTAATATAGTGTGTTCAATGTGCAAGCAATCGCACATTCTCTCAAAATGTCCGCAATTTGTAGCAAAGAGTCCGATTCAGCGACGCGAATTGGTTAAGAAATTTCGACGATGTTTTAATTGTTTGAGTGATAAACACATGTCGATCAATTGTCAAAGTAATTTCACATGTCGAACATGTAATAAACGACATCATTCTATGATTCATCTCGATTCGGACTCATTGCAACAAGTTACAAATGCGAACAATACGTCAAACGCGAATGACGTCATCGACAACGTGCCTAACGTTACGGCACTCTCATCAGTTACAATGACAACTGCGCCGACTCCTGTTGTCTTATCTACTGCAAAGGTGAATTTGCAGGCGCCTTCTGGACGCTCATTGGTTGTCAGAGCCTTGATTGACGGTGGATCAGAGCTCACGTTTGTGACGGAGCGCGTTGCTCAAATATTACGTCTCAAGCGTATACGAACGCTTACTTCAACGTCGGGAATAAGCTGCGCTGACACCGGTACATGCCGATCTGCGGCTCTGATTCACATCACTCCTCGCAAAAAATCGAAACCAAGGTTCACAACGGTTGCCTATATTATGAAGGCATTAACGAGGTATGCTCCCAGAAACGCTTCGCAATCGCAAGATTGGAAACATATTTCCAATCTGGAATTGGCTGACGATGATCCTACCGGATCAACACCGATTGATCTCATAATAGGATCCGATTTATATAATCACGTACTCGTTCACGTACGTAACGGACCGCTCGGTCAACCAGGTGCAATTGAATCGCATTTCGGATGGATCCTATCCGGAACAACCTCTATCCCGAATCACGTGACACAACCCTCTCATGTGGTAACTTCAACTCTCGTAATTCCGCCTGTTGAGGATGCGAGTCGCGTCGTGCAATCAGCTCAGTTAAATCAACGTTACAGTGTTGTCGCTCATTGTTGTTCTCTCGAAAATCAATTGTCTAAATTCTGGGAGGCAGAAGAAACACCTCAATCAATTGAAATGTCCCCAGATGACGAACAATGCGAAGAACATTTCAAACAAACGCATTCGAGAACATCGGATGGGAGATATATCGTGCGTCTGCCGTTTCGAAACGGCCCACCCATCGAAATCGGTGAATCTCGCGAAATAGCCGCGCGTCGGCTTTCGTCGTTACTTCGGAGAATTAATAATCAACCTGCGATTAAGCAGGAGTATGCTGAATTCATGAGCGAATACGCACAGTTGAATCATATGAAAGTAATCGCACCGGTGGATTCAGTAAATTCACAAGTCGTGTACATCCCTCATCATCCGGTCATTCGAGAGACTAGTTCGACAACTCGGTTGAGAGTCGTATTTGACGCCTCATGCACAACCTCTAACGGTACCTCGCTCAATTCTCACATGTTTACTGGGCCTAAACTACAGTTAGATCTGCAATCGGTTTTATTACGTTGGCGACAGCACAAATACGTTTACTCCGCAGACATAGCGAAAATGTATAGACAAATATTGGTCGACTCGCGAGATAGAGATTATCAACGCATCCTATGGATAGATGAAAATTCGAATATTCAAGAACATCAACTCCTTACGGTAACATACGGTACGGCTTCCGCACCGTTTTTAGCTCTTCGAGTCATTAATCAGTTAAACGATGATGAAGGAAGCTCGTTTCCACTAGCATCTGCGGTTTTAAGCGAGAACGTCTATGTGGACGACGTGCTGTTTGGGGCCGAAGATATGCCTCTCCTTAAACAGACTCGAGATCAAGTTTGCAAATTGTTGAAACGCGGTGGATTCGATCTTCGCAAATGGGCGAGTAACAAACCGGAGTTGCTCTCAGATATTTCATCGGATCATCACGGGCTCGCACAGCTTAAATTATTCGAGACTGACAACAATCTGAAGGTTCTCGGTATTTTTTGGAATCCGACGCACGATTGTTTTCCAGTTTCAAATTGAATTACCACAGACTCTCCCTTCTACAAAACGAACGATTCTCTCTACCATAGCCAGAATATTCGATCCACTTGGATGGGTCACACCCGTGGTTCTCAAAGCGAAAGTTTTTATGCAGAAATTATGGCGACACAAAGTAGGCTGGGACGACAATCTCTCAGAAGATCTCCTTTTACAATGGAGCGTGATTTATAAATCACTTCCTTACATCAAAGCATAAACTTAGTCGCTGGATTGGATGCGATTCAGATACCAAGAGCATCGAGTTACACGGTTTCGCGGATGCTTCCCAAGTAGCTTACGCCGCAGTAGTTTTTTTGAGAGTCACAACATTATCCGGTCATACAACTGTTTCGCTCCTCGCTGGGCGATCCAAAGTCGCGCCTATCAAACCGCTGACAATCCCTCGATTAGAATTGTCAGCTGCGGTCTTATTAGCGCGCCTAATTGAATTCATCAGAAAATCTCTTCATTTCACGAAAATGCCAGTCCATTGTTGGACAGATTCGAGTATTGTGCTTGCTTGGTTAAACAAGCACCCATCTCATTGGAAAACTTTCGTCTCGCATCGCGTAACAGAGATTCAAACACGAGTATCTGATGGCATTTGGCATCATGTCAGTACACATGAAAATCCCGCTGACTGTGCATCTCGCGGTTTACTCGGCACAGAATTAAGCGCCTTCGACATTTGGTGGCGCGGACCTTCATGGTTGAGTCTTAAACAGGATGATTGGCCCACATTCACAATAACGCCGATAGACGAAACACAGTTAGAAGAAAAACCGTGTCAAGTGCATCAAGTGAACGCTAATGAACCGTGGAATCTCACTACTCGATATTCATGGTGGCCAAAATTAATACGTATTACCGCCTACATTTACCGTTTCATAAGGAAGTGTAGAAAGAAACACACAATAGGATCGAACAACAAGTCTCAATATCACGCTCTTACTACAGTTGAATTCAACGAAGCACGAAACTTCTGGCTGAACTTCATTCAGTTAGAACTATTCGAAAACGAGCTCCATAATTTAAAGTCAAACAAACCGTTGCCTACTCACAGTCCAATTCTCTCATTAAATCCGTTCCTGGATTCTGACGGTCTAATTCGCGTTGGGGGGCGATTAGAACACTCGTCATTATCTTTCCAGTCCAAGCATCCAATCTTATTAGCCAACCATACGATCACTACCATGATCATCCGTTATACGCATGTTGTATCTCTCCATGCCGGTCTTCAATCCACTCTTTCAAAACTTAGACAAGAGTTTTGGATTTGAGAGCAAGAAGTCTAGTAGTAAAGTCGGTTATTTATAAATGTGTTCCGTGTACAAGAGAAAAGGCTCAAGTAGCTAGTCAGCTGATGGGCCAGCTACCTACAAGTCGTGTTTCGGCGCCCTCTCGAGCGTTTCTACATAGCGGTGTCGACTACGCCGGACCAGTCTTTACACGTGCTTCAGCCGGCCGAGGAATTACCTCGCGAAAGGCCTACATAGCACTCTTTATTTGTTTAGCCACACGCGCTATTCATCTCGAACTGGTTAGTGATTACTCGACTGCTGCCTTTCTTAACGCTTTTCAAAGATTTTGTGCGCGACGTGGATTACCAGAGGTCATGTACTCGGACAATGGTACTACGTTCGCAGGAGCAGACAAGGAGTTGTCGCAAGCGTATCGAGACGCTCAAAGCGATGTTAACTTTCTCAACTTTATCGTGTCAGATAACATCACATGGAGTTTTATCCCTCCCCATGCTCCACACTTCGGTGGATTGTGGGAGGCAGGGGTCAAAAGCGTTAAATACCACCTTCGTAGGATATTAGGAAATCACACCCTCACTTTCGAGGAACTTACTACCGTGCTTTGTAAAGTTGAAGCATGCTTAAATTCAAGGCCCCTGTGCCCATTGACTGATTCGATTGACGATTTTGAAGTGCTCACTCCGGGTCACTTTTTGATTGGATCGGCAATCACAATCAATCCAGAACCTTCTGTTCTGCAAATCAATGAAAACAGACTGTCACGGTGGCAGTTGTTGCGACAGATCACGGAGCGTTTTGGAAGCATTGGCACGCCGACTATATTAACACGCTTCAACAGCGAACTAAGTGGCGAAAGGCAAAGTCACTATCCATATCGGTTCCATGGTTCTGATTCAAAATCCTCTTCTTCCTCCTTGCAAATGGGAACTCGGACGCGTAATCCACTGTCAACCAGGCTCTGACGGATTAATTCGAGTAGTTTCCGTCAAAACAGCGAACTCGGAATATAAGCGTCCCATAACTAAGTTATGTGTGCTTCCAATCGACGTTGATTCTGACGATTCCATCGAGGATCAACCTCGAGTGTCAAGCAATTAGCGATAATTCTAGTGTAAGTTAATTATACGATTCTAATTCTAATTACGTTATAATTTATGTAGCAAGTAAGTCAAGTTTATGTTCATTAGTTAAGTCAAAGCGTGCAAGTAAAGTCGCCAAGGCGGGCGGCGCTTGCAATCCTAAGTTTAAGGTCGTGCGAATTAGTACGAACAGCGGATACTGTTGTTTACGCGATCTGCGTTAAATGTTAAAATCCGTCCGCGATAACAACAGTGATCTTTAGAAGTCAACTTTAAGTCAATATTGTCAGCCGTTTCAGGTCTACAATTTCACTTTAGTGCGATCTGAGCGTAATCAGAAGTTACATCTCAGTATCTTATATATTGCATGGGATCAATCGTGACGAACAATCACACGCAATTAGTTTTCATTTAGCAAACCTCACTCACACGGGAGTGAACGATGCATCCTTGTGTAAGGTATACCGCGAGATCGAGTAGTTTCGAAATTCAAATTTCGAGGCGGGCGGTATGTTTAGGATTCAGAAAAATTTGCCGCGCTCGATCGAACGAAAATTCACGAACAGTCGAGAATTTAAGTGAAAGCAATTGCCGCGGGCCTAACACGGCAGCACCTCGCGGCACGCACCGCGGGAAGCGCCGCGGAAGCAAATTTTCGGCCAATTAGCGCGTTCCGCGTGTACCCCTCGCGATCAGGCGGTCGATAGCGTGATCGATGAGGGTAGCATTCCGTCGGGGACAGTCGTCGCGGAGAGAGAGCCGGCGTTGGTCGCAAGTCAGACCAAAGAATTCGCGTTACGGTGTAATAAGTGCGTGAATGTATTATCGCGACAAATACGAACAGATTTGCGCGGTATTGTGTGACATATCGAGAGTGAAGAGTTAACGGGTAATCGGATCTCGTTCGCGACGCAACATACACGTTCTCGCGACGAATTCGCCATTGTCTCGTGCATGCTACGTGCACGTGATCGAACATTACGAGTATTCGGATCCTGCTGGAGGATTCACTGCGATATTCGCGTATCGGTGAATGCATGTCGTGCATTCTCTCTCTCGCTCGTTCTCTCTCTCTCTCTCTCTCTCTCTCTCTCTCTCTCTCCCGCGCTCTCTCTCACAATTGTCGTAGTAGTACGCCGTCGCGACGAACTCGCCGTCGTATTGTGCACGCTGCGTACACGTGATCGACTCCTGCGAATATTCGAATCCTTCTGGAGGATTCTGTGTGATAGTTAATTGCATATAAATGCACGTGATCGAACATTACGAATATTCGGATCCTGCTGGAGGATTGAATGTCACATAATTGAAGACAATTATTAAGTCGCGTCAAATCATATGTGCGCGTGTTCGATAAATTATAACGGTCGTCCACAAGAGGACAAATTTGTTGTTGTACGATTCGCGATCGTGACTTTCAAATAAGACATTGTTTTCTCTTGCGCACAAAAAACATTGGTGTCGATATCGAACAAACAGTTTTTTCTTTTGTGATCGCGAGCTTCGAAACGTGTACAGCAAACGCTTTCGATTCTCATATCGAGTTTTTGTTCTTTTTTTCTTTGATTTGTTGTGTCAAGTCCAGGTGACTTTCTGACATGTGAAATAATAAATTGATCTGTTTTTGTTCATCAACTTCAAGACTTCTTTTCAATTCGGCTTCCTACGTAAATCATCAATCTCAGCGCACACATGGGTGCGCGATCACCCTATTAAGATACAGTCCACTCAACAATTATCCTATTGTCCATCCATCACATCTCTCATGAGATTCCTATGATTTCTTTCCAATAAAAAAAAAAAAAAAACGGGTGAAGGATTTGAGAGGCGGCGCGCGAGACGCGGCCCTAAAAGGCCGAGCATGCTCGTTCGCCGCAGCTTCGCGTCGGACCACGGTTCAAGCCGCGCGTTCGCAACAGATTATAATTA